TACTTCGCCCCACGTAAGGGTATCCGGATTCCGGAATCTAAAAATTTTGGCTTGTAGGATCCGGAATCCCGGAAAATTTTGATATGGAATCCGGAATCCAGGGCTTTGGAATCCAGAGTAGAGCTCAAGCACCCTACTAAGGAATGAAATTCCACTGGAAAATACTGGAATCCAGCACCCGGAATCCTGAATCCATGGAATGCGATCCAGAATCCAAGACTGTCTTGTATTCGCTAACATGGGGCGATAGTACTGGATTGTGAACGGCGAATTACTATTTTCCCTTTATTTACCTTCCACTGATCAGGAGCCCACATTTGAAGACTTTGTTAAAGAAATTTCAATTAGAAGGTTTCTTCCATTTACTGACTGTTTCTTCCTATTAACAGTGGTCAGCTTTTGTTTTCACGCTCCAAGAGACAGTCTGGAGTCTAAGGCTAATTTTGTATCGCAGCCAGTTAATAAAGAAGTTGGCACACGCAAATTATAAAGTTTCAACATTAATTTCGAACCGTGCAACATCAGTGAAAGTAACAAGAAAATGAAGTGTGGAAGTTCACGCGGTTTTTCCCAACTGATAAAAGTATACGATTGTCAGGACACCATTACTTCTTACCATGACACCTGTCATCCATCGAAGTCTGAACTAAGTGAAGCAGAGCCAATACTCTCAAAAGATGGTAATCATTGACCTTACGAAAAATCAAGTGGAACAGACGGTGATCGCTTCCCCAGGAGGACTCCCATACAAAAGTGACGTGGGTGCTCGTCGTTTGCAGATTTTGGTCTCACTTCGGTTGTTTGGGACGGAAAGTACCTAAATATGCTCATTCAGGTATCGCTTAAGGCTGTGCATAAAGAAATTTGCCAAAAAAAAAAGCCGTGACGCTGACCTCACAGAAATCTCCTTTAGCGGGTCAGTTTAAGCTTGAGCCACACCCACATTGGCCTCCCTTAGGGGTTTAAATAATAAATTATTAATTTTCCGACGAGCAGCGCTTCACTTTTATATGGAAGTCTTAAACTCGGACGATTTTGGCGGCCACCTCGTTCTTCGCATAGAGGACCAAGAAAGGAATATTAGGACCAAGGACAGGCATGTAATTGGTTTGGAGATTGCTAAGATCGTATACCATCTATTTTAAAGGAAGGGGTCACGTACGTATAAAATCGTAAAATCATTGCTAATATCCTTATCACTAGTTCCTTTATCTGTGATAAGATAACGACAAAAGGGCCAATGGGTATTGTCATAATCGTAATTTCAAGTTCAGACAATGATAAACTCAGTGGTCCACTCAATTTTTTTTATTTAGAATTATGCGGGAAGTGAAGATCCAAACATAATGAAGTTATGGAGAAAAGTAGGAAGTGGCTTTAAGTCAAATATCCTGATATTAATCACTGTTGCAGTATGGCATAAAGTTACACAGTCAGCTGATGCACTTGCACATTTGATATCATTTATGAGCTGACGGATTTGAATATCACAAGATACACGCGTGAAACAGAAAGTGATAAGCGCATATCTAAACCTAATTTGGAGTCGGAGTTAAATTGCCAAAATCGTGATTACCTACCTTTAGGCATATTACTGAGAGTACTCATGACAATTGTTTGGTATTGAAGCCCAACGTGAACAAAAACCTCTGAATTCGAACAATCAGTAGAGGTGAGAACTGACGTGAAGTCTGGATCCCGCATTGTCGAAGGTTTCCCCAGCAAGAACATTTCTCCAGGTCGAGACCCCTGCACTGTTTTTACGTCTTTTCTCGTCTCACGTCTTGTTAGCGGTTATTACCCTGTTGTTACAGACGCCGAAATCGGCCTTTGGACCCTCCGTGTGGATCCAAATTCATATTGATATCGATTTTACTAAATTAGGCGCCAACGCGTTTATCATTTCGTTTTTGCGACTCCAGTGCGGTGCTCATTTGATACAACAGCCTACCGCGGACAATGTTGTTAATGTTGTTGAGCCACTCAGCGAGGATCTCATTGC